GGCCCGGCCCGCGGAGGCGTTGTGGAAGCCGGTTGTGGTGTCGATGGTGTCGGGGATTGAGGAGAGGACGGCGTTGAGGTTGGCGGCGTAGGTGCTGTTGACAGTGTAGTTGCCGTTGTTGTTGAGGCAGTAGGATAGGGCTTGGGCTTGGGCTCGGGCGGATAACAGTAGGATGAGGGTTGTGTGGAGGATTACCAGAAGGAATGTGGGTAACATTTTCTCTTTTTTGACAAGTATGCGTTTGCTCGAAACTTGTCAAAATGAAGGCATATTGGAAAACAAGAAGCACCACGACTTGTTTATTGTTGAAGGAAACAGGATACGTAAGTACGCAGTTGCTCAATATTGACCATTTCAACCATCTACATATTCCACACATTTATTTATTTTTATTGAATAAAAGTTTTCCTCTTTCCCATCCCTTTGTCTAAAAAGGTTAATTTAAGTTGCTATGCTCTATATTAAAATAATATTTAAAATAAAATAAATAAAATTAATTTAATGTAAAAGTAAGAAAAAGAAGATGTGACGTGATTGTTAATTAAAACTATTTGAGTTGATGAATAGTGAATTAAGGTTGATGTGATGTGTAAAAATGATTGATTGATATTATTTAATTATATTGATGATGGTGGAGTTTGGTTAAAATTGAGTTAAAAAAAAAGTGGTTGAGTTAAAAATGATTGGATGTTTTTGGATGAATTTTTATCCAAGCATCCTCTTAATGTTTATATGTCTGCTTAGGGATGCAAATGAACTCAATCGAGCTCGAGCTAAATTCGTTTATCAATATTGAATTATTGACAAATTGAGTTTGAGTCGATCTCGAGTTTTAACGAGTTGAACTATAGAAAATTATATAAACATTATCTACCGAGCCTTAACGAGTCGAAACGAGCTTTCAGTGATCGAGCTGAGCTCAGTCGAGCTCACAAGCGACTTGTTTCGTTCAACAACTCTATGTCTACTACACTCTAAAACTTCATAAATGTGATTGATTTTTTTTTTTTTACATATTGATACAAAACACATGTGTCATTATAAATAATTCTAAATCATTCTCGTCTTCCCCACTGGGCTCGTGTGTTGTCCTTCCAAGTTGAGTCTTCGACCACCATACCCGCAGGTTGAGTTTCTATTAGACCATCCGACTGCCCTAGCTCGACCTGTTGGTAACATCTTTCCCTGCAACATCTTCATCGATTTGAGGACTCTGTTCGACCTACAACTCAATTTGACTAACCGATTTGCTCAGGCCGGTTGGCTGGTTTATCATGTCTATTTGACTCGATGTGGATCTCATATCAATATTATAAGATTGATTGGTAATACTAAATATGTCTTTAACAAGATATTATGATTATTATAACGCATAGTTGCCAACCGAGCCTAAGTATGTGTTAGTCTTAAGTATATAATTGTGAATAGGATTACGAAGCGTGTGAACTTGTTTCTTAGGTTCAGCACGTTCTGAAATTATAGCAGAGGATAAGTCAAGGGATAAGCCACACTTTGTGGTCTGTGCGGCTAGGAAACTTAATGTATTGCACACTGGATATCATAATAACCAATAAAACTCAGCCCAAAGAAGTTACTAAATGATGTACATGATGCTACAAAAAATGGAAACAAACTAAATGAATAGTGCATGTTGCAACTCAACAATGCACAAAGTAATCATTCAGACAACAGAATATAACAACAGCCCCACATATAAAACTTTGTCAATCTTCTTCACCGATCAACGTGGATATAAGTCCGTGATCGATGCATCATTTCTTGATGAAGACTTATCCGATGGTACGCTGCTTTTCGATGAATTTTTGTAGTCGGATTCCCTCAAACGATGCTCCTGAAGGAGTGAAGAATCCGAGCCATAATCACTCGGCATATAGAACGCAGGCTCGGAAGGAGCAGCCAGAGTTAATGAGAAGCTATTGAGCATTAGTACAACAGAAGCCATTGTGGGTCTATCGGCCGGGTTCTCTTGAACGCATAGCAAACCAATGTGAAGGCATCTCAAAATCTCACTTATCGAGCCCGAACCAGACCTCAAGCAAGGATCCACGAAATTCGCAGCCGTACTGTCTCTCCAATTTTTCCAAGCCTATATAACAATTCAATACCAATGTTTGGATATATTAACCAAATTTAGTGATTTATATTGTACAATGGTCATTTTTTGTTAGGCAAAAATATATTTCTAGTCCTGTTGGTTTAAGCCACAACAATTTTTGTCCCAAGGTTCCAACTTTTCGCAATTTGGTCTCCTATGATTTAATGATTTGCTGCGATTTCAGTTTTCAAATGACTGAAATTGCAACAAAATTTTAATTTTACATGAATTGAAATTGCATCAAAATTTAAAATTATAGAACTTAAATTGTTATTAAAAAACTATAAATTTGGGAATTTGTTGCAATTTCAGTCATTTGAGGACTGAAATTGCAGCAAAATATTAATGCACGTGACCAAAAGGCGAAATGATAGAATATTGGGAATAAAAATGCTTTGGCGTTAAACCAACATGACTAAAAATGCAATTTAGCTTTTTTGTTAAATATGTGTACTTACAAAGCTCAAAAGGTCTTCTATGTTCTCCCCACGCCGCACGCAGTTATTTTTCTCGCCACTAATGATTTCCAAGACGAGCACTCCAAAGCTGAACACATCCGACTTAACAGAAAACTGCCCGTGCATTGCGTATTCCGGAGCCATATATCCGCTGCATTATGTAAATAGTTTGATATATTATGTTATCTGAACAATGATAGTAGAATAATGATTATTCTTAAATGGTTACTAAGTGCTATAATAAGTGGTGCACTTACAATGTTCCGGCAATCCTGCTCGTATTTCCTTGAGTTTCATCTTGTCCGAATAGCCTCGCCATGCCAAAGTCTGCGATTTTAGGGTTCATCGATCCATCTAAAAGTACATTGTTGGGTTTTAGATCGCGGTGAATGATCCTAAGCTGAGAATCTTCATGCAAATACAAGATTCCCCTTGCTATGCCTCCTATGATCTTGTACCGTTTCTCCCAATCTAAGTATGAGCGTTTGACCGGGTCTGCATGAAGAGAAAAATAGTGTGTAAGTTATAGTCAATCTCGAATCATATTAACTTTGTAACAAAAAATTGTAATAAATCATATTACCAAATATAAATTGATCCAAGCTCGCATTCTGCACGAATTCGTACACAAGAAGCTTCTCTGTTCCTTCTAGGCAGTAGCCCAAAAGTCGAACCAAATTCCTATGTTGTAGCTTGGCTAACAATAAGACCTCATTCTTGAATTCCACATCTCCTTGTCCAGAGTTCTCAGCCAATCTCTTCACTGCTATTTCTTGGCCATTTGAAAGTACGCCCTAGTACAAATGAAAAAAATACTCGTTCTTCATTTTAAATTGCTGCATATATTCTTTATACATATTAGCAATACCGAATTAATTACCTTGTAAACGGTGCCAAAACCACCCTGACCGAGCTTGTTAACATCCGCGAAATCATTTGTGGCTTCTCTAAGTGTGGTCAAGGAATATTTGAGAGATTCGATGGAGTTGCTAAGATCGTCAGCTTCAAATGATTGAAAGATAAAAAACTTAGTTGAACATTATCGAGAAAACGTGAAGGATTTCGATAAGTATCATCAAGGGCACTTACTCTGATGTTGTTCATCGGGCTTTCGTTTTGTTCTCTTTCTAAACAGAACGATCGCGAAAATGGCTAATATAAGGGAAGCTGCAACTGATACTACAACAATGATAACAGTTCTGGTTGTGCTATTGTTACCACCACTTGTTCCTGCAAAAATATATAATAGTCTCTCAGCTGTAATGATACATAAACAGAACTGATAAGTCTTTTGACTTTGAACAAAACTGCAATTCAAGATGCTAAATTGACTGAAACTGCAATTTCGAGAGAATATCGTCCAATTACCCGGCGGCGGTGGTTGCTGGGGCACTACCACCGACGGCGGCGGTGACAGAGGGGCAGGGGACGGCGGCGCCGGCTCGAGCTCCTGGAGCCTGGTCAAATTATAAAAGGGCTCCGTCTCGTAGCGGATGGTGCAGCTGGGCCACCACACCCTACCCCCTCTCCTCCTGTCACAGCAGCCGGGGATATCCTGCGCAGCGTTGATTAGGCAGCTGCTGCAATCGTCGGCGGTCAGATCCGGCGTGCACTGGACCATCGCGAAGATGGTCTGAAAATCTGTGGCGGTCACGTTTGCGGCCGCTACCTTCCGCCGGGGCCCACCACCCGCGGCCCGGTCTCGCAGACCGTCGAGCAGGGCCCGGAGGTCCTCCATGAATCGGGCCGGATTCGTGGCGTTCTGCGTGTTCCACATGAACACGGCGGGCCGGGACTGCGGGGGGGTCCCGATAAGGGACTCGTTGGAGTATCGGAGGATGCAGAACTCGGCCCACTCGATGGCCTGGCGCTGGTACGGGCAGGCCGACAGGAGGTCGGTGGTGAGGTTCCGGATGCAGCCGCGGCAGATCTCGGGCTGGGCGTCGCCTCGGCAGAGGGCGGTGGCGTAGGCCCGGTCGGGGGCCCGACCCGCGGAGGCGTTGTAGAAGCCAGAGGCCACGTCGATGTTGCCAGGGATGGAGGAGAGGACGGCGTTGAGGTTGGCAGCGTAGGTGCTGTTGACAGTGTAGTTGCCGTTGTTGTAGCAGAAAGATTGCGCGGAGAAGAAGAGGAAGCTCGTGTGAAGGAGGAAGATGAAGAAGAAAGTGGGAACCATTTTTTATTTTTTATTTTTTTAAGGTTGAAGTATGCTTTTGGCTCTTATATTATGAATCTACGACTCAATGAGTGGAAATGGATAGCCTTATATGTTATTCATTACTATGTGATCTTTATTGTGTTGTGAACATGGTAATCATACAGGTAATCATATAGTATAGGACTAGTACAACATATCCGTGTACTACTCGTTGTTTTTGTTAAAAAATTATTCTAAAATTTTTTAAAATTATATAGTTTAGAATGACACTTGTTACTTGTGCGACTTACATGCGTTATATTATAGTAATATTTATACTTATATCATATAACTACTTGAAAGATAAATATATTAATTGATAAATAATTTGATTTTTCAAATTAATATTAATTTTTTTTATTATTGTTATAATGATAAATATAATTTTTTATACATACAATATGAATGTTAAATCGAAGTTCATCGAGAGATGATTAATTTGATATATTATATATGCAACACTCATAACAAATACGAAAATTATTAACTTTTAAAATATATTTACAATTTAATGGTTATAATAAGAAATAATATTAAAATATAAATAATCAACATTTCTATAGATAATTCAGATCTAATTATTTTTGGATTGGAAATAAATTAAAATCTACCCAAGTCTCATAACGAAAGCATGTAATTTTGCCACTACTAGGATCCTGAAGCATGCGAGTCTGGCACTTTGGCTCAACACGTTCTGCTTTAATATATAGGAGGATATATAGGGGATGAGTTGATTCGCGGTTTAATTAGTTTTATTATTATTATTATTATACAAAAAATTGTATAAATCTAACTTTAATAAATACTAAAATAAACTAAAATCTAAAAACTAATTTTTATAAAATAAATTATTAAAAAGAGGTGTGGAACTTTCAAATAATAAAAATATATAAAAGACAACAATCCGCCAGACCCGACATTATAATTGGTATTTTCTAGTAGAACCAGTGTATTCTGATATAAACTGATATTTTGGCCAAAACAATTTTAATAGTGTAACCATAGTTCGGTACCTTATGGTATTTAAAACATTAATCTATATATAATAATAATAATTATAGGAAAAAATTTTGAATACATTTTTCGTTTCACTTTTTTAAAATGTGGTAATAATCCGTTCTATTTCATATTAATTAAATAAATAATTATATTTAGTTATTTGTAAAACTAACTAATTATATTTCGCAATAATTGGTATAAAAAAGTCACATAAATATAACAAAATTATATTGTAATTTTTAAAGTTATTTATTATGAAACATTTTTTTTTTTTTTTTGGCATCCGATTAATTAAGTGATTGTAATTTTTTTTAATTGGCTAATTGGTTCAATGATATAGTTAACCCCACTAAATTGCATAAACAATTGATATAATTATTACTCTATTTTTTTTTTGGCTAATTAATTGACAATGATCACTCAAAATTATAAAAATTATATTATTCCTTATATTCTGATGCAATCAATGTAGTGGTTTTAATGTGGTTAAGTAGTTTATACTGTTTAGTTGTACTAATGATCAAATTTTAAAATATAATATAATTAGATAACTATTATATCCATACATATAACTTGTATTATGCACATAACCAAGTATTTCTTCAATGCTCATTAATCTTTCCTTTGGCCAAATCGTTTAAATTATGCTATGTATCTAAATTTTATCATATACTTTTATGTGAGTCGAGCTAACAGTTAGATATGGTCAATTTATAATATTATTTTAAAATACACATTTTCATATTTTTATTCGTGCTATATTTCAGAATATAATAATTTTATTTCCAATTTTTAAAATTATAGCTATTGAAAAATAAAAATAAATAATACTTAATTTGCAGCTTGGCGATTAAGGAGAGTGGACTTTGAAGCTTTCGGGTCTTTCCACTTCTTTGTTTTTTTCTTATGTTGTAGTTTAGTTTAATACCGAAAGAGACGGGACAGGTAAGGGCATGTTGTTTGAAGAATTTAATAGGCTGTTGGCTCATGAGGACCATTTCAAACACGCTATCATTTTTTTTTTTTTTTAAGTGGATCAAACACGCTATCATTCAACACAATTATTTTGCCAATTCAATGTTGACTTTAGTTTCACAGTAAGCTAAAAATATCTTCTTAAAATACGTACATGTCAGTGGAGCTGTAGCCGAGCTCGAGTTTAGGGTGCTCAAGCTCGAGCTCGAGCCCTTAACGAGTCGAATTGAGCTCTGTTCGCTAAGTAAACAAGCCTGAAATCAAGATTGAGCTCGGCTCGTTAAGGCTTCGGGCTCGAGTTTTAACGAGCCGATCTTGAGTTTTAACGCCGAACTATAAAAAAATCATATAAAAATTCTATTTTCGAGTCTTATCGAGCCGAGCTCGGCCAAACAAGCTTTAAATAAGCTTGAGTTCGGCTCGTTAAGGCTTAGAACTTGAGCCTTAACGAGTCAAGCTTGAGCCGAGTCGAGCCGAACCAGGCTCATTTAATCTAACAGTACTACATGTCATGAATTAAATTAAGGATATTTTCTTCTTTATTTTAATTTTAGGCCCAAGTTTATTTAAAAAAAAATATCCAAGTTGATTATGTTTTGAGAATGCACCGTTGATTTTTTAAGTAGGATATCCACCTATATATTAATTCAAAACGTGCTAAGTTTAAGTGTCAGACTCTTTATACTTTTGATTTCTACTGTCGGTTTTCTTCAGATGATGTCATCCCGCCAGTAGAGTACAAAAACTTTAACTCACGGTGAAATGCCAAGCATAGCCAAACGTTCGAGTGGGATACATGAAACCCCGTTTTTAATTTCTTCAGATGATGTCACCTCGTTTTTAATTTCTTCAAGACAAGGTATGTTTTATGATGATACTAGGGACATGTTATAATATCATCTGAAGATATATACAACGTATGTTCTGGTATCACAAGTGAGGGGGCGTGTTAGAATATCACTTGTGAGTTGTCCCACATCGTTCATACATAGAAAATAGACTCACCTTATAAGTCTAATGGGCTACTCCTCCTTCCACCAATTAGTTTTAGGATGGTACCCCACTTGAGCTTCATATGGGCTTTCCCCGCTTTGGTGCATTTCATGTTAGTGGGACCGCACCCGTTTTTCCCCCAATTTCTTACATGGTATCAGACTAGGTTAAGAGTCAATTATAGGTTTTTTCTTTTGTTTCACGTCTCCGGCCATTACCGGTTCTCACCGCCCCCACCATCATCTCCGCCGTGTCCCGGCGAGTTGTCGACTGAAAGCCGGTCCCAGTCGCCGGCGCGTGTGCTTCCCACGCGCCCGTTCTTCGTCTCGGCGCTGCGTCCTTTGACCGGCGCGTGTGGTCCAACCCGAGCTCCGATCGCCGCAATTTTTTCAGCCGTAGACTCCTCTCATCGGCGGCTACATCCTGGTGTGGTTGGTTTTGGTTTTCGTGCCTTTTTTATTTCGGCCTACATTTCTATTTTGACGGTTTCGTGATATGCTTCGTGTCTATATTTTTATCTGTTTTGAGATATTGTGTTGATCTCATTTTTTGATATGGATCGTATGGATGTGCAGTCTCCTATTAGTCTTGTCTTATCAGGGGATAATTACAGTCTTTGGGCTCAGTCTATGAAGAGTTTTTTAATTGGGCGAAAATTGTGGTGGATTGTAACTGGTGATGTGTTGCCACCTATGCGTCTGTCTCCTTCAGGGTATTCCGACCCCACACCACAGGCTCTTGCCACTTACGTCGATAAGTTGAAGGATTGGGATAGTAAGAACCATCAGATTCTTACTTGGTTACGTAATACTACAACATAAATGACTTTAGGTAGCACCATCAAATGTAACACTTTACAAATAGGTAATACTTTTGGTAGTTTTTGGTAACACGTATATGATACCTATATGTAAAGTGTTACATTTGATGCTGCTACCTAAAGCCATTTATGTTTCAGTCCCTGCTATTCAGGTGCAGCTTGTCCCGTTTGACAGTGCAAATGAGGCCTGGAATTTTTTGGCTGCTCGATTTCAGACTACAGGCTTGGCCCACTATTATCATCTTTGGAGCACCTTGCATTCCACCAATTGGTTTTGGGATGGAACCCTACTTGGGCTTCATATGGGTTTTTTCCCGTTCATGGTGCGCTTCATATTTGTGGGACCGCACCCGTTTTTCCCCCAGTTTCTTACATCTAAAATGACTCCATAGACTCTCAATTGTCCTGGGCTGGAGACTCAAGCTTTTTTTACTTCAAGATGTTTTGCCGATAGGGCCTCGTTTCCTTTATAAATATGATATTGTATTGATCTTCATCTGTTAGTATATTATTCCTTAGTTGATCCGATCTGTACAGGTCAAATCTCTTGGGGTGTCGATCTGTCTTCTGTGGATCATCTTTGTACATATTGGGTTCCTTTTTTTTTTTGTCGACAACTATTTTATATAAAGAGACTGGTATAAAACGACTATAAGGGATTTTGAGGAAGAAACATGTAATAGTATTCTTAATGAATTTGCGACGATCTTAAAGACTAAATTTATACACGAAAGAAAAAAAAAAGAGAAAATGTAATGATGACCAAGTGTCAACTACGGATGTGGGGGAATGAAACGCGTTCCCATGTAAAAACCCTTCTTTTGATGATGGTACTGACTGGACGATCGGTTTATCGATTCTTGTTCACATTGCAGAGAGATCGACAATCTTCAACGAAATGTAATGACCAACATATCTGCTTTAAGGTTTAGATGTTGATCAGCTCAGGATCGGCGGTTCAACTTCTTGGGTTGTTCCTTCTCACAATTTGGGCTCGGTTCAAGATAGGCCTAATATCTACCGGGAGCAATCCATACCTTTGTATAGTGGGCTGGCGCAATATACATGATTAATTTTTATGTATAGCATCCCCTATTCAAAATTAGTAAATGATTTCTTTCTTTGTTCGGCTTTTCCCTATCTACAAAAACAGTTCAATTTATTTGAAGTTTATTTCGTTGATCGACGAAAATTTTGTGTCTGCACACATTGCCCTTGAACTTTTTTTTTCTTTGGAACTTTGTCCAAAAAATCTATTTCTTCTCTCTCTTGATGAAAATCTTTAGGGACACACGAAATGAAAATAGGTTTTGGATTGATCAAGCATTCTATTTTTTTTTTTTTTTTAGTTTTTCGGTCACTTTTTTTTACCACTCCAATGTGTGGTATACATCAAGTCAAACAAAAAATCAAAAGCAAAAGCAAAAAAGAAGAATACAATGAAAAGCTGGCAAATGCAGCGAGAAGGCGAAAATAATAGATCTTGGTCTGTGGAGAGTCTGGGCAAAAAAGTTTGTATCACAGTGTGGCAGATGCGCCAAAATGTAGGAGCAGCTATGCAAATCTGAATGAGGGGTATATCACCTGGTTCATCCGTATGAGAGTGCGGAGGCGGAGAGAGATCTCGTAAGAGTAGAGAATGCGCCTTTGGGGGGTGAAGGACCCTATTCTAGCGAGGCAGTCTGCAGGCCGGTTCCCCTCGCAGAATATGTGAGAGATCCGATAGCGGACCGACCGAAGAATTGCTCTGATACGCATGAGGGGGTGCTGAATTTGCCACGTGCCCTGATGGCCAGATGACAAGAGAGTGATAACAGCAGCACCGTCCAACTCTATCCAAATGTGAGAGAAAATCGAAGCAACCATCTGAACACCAATCTGAAGCGCCTGAACCTCCGCGTCATAGCTCGAGAAGGCCCGAAGAGGAGCACCTCCGCGTCATAGCTCGAGGAGGCCCGAAGAGGAGCATGAAAAGCAGTAATGAGGGAACCGCTATGGTCCCTAATCAGGGCCCCACCTCCTGCACATTGCCCTTGAACTTAGGCAAACCATTTTGCAGCTGAACCATCAATTGGATTTTATTTCTAACAGTGTCTTTGTGGTTAAATTTGGTATAGAATTTTCACATTTACTTTGAAGCTAAATAAACAATCAATAGTTAAGATTTTTTTTTTTCGTAGCCAGCCACGATATCCGGAGTTATGCCCCGACTAATCCGTTGGTCGACCCGGGTCGCACACCTGACAATGGTGGGTGAGTCTCCCAATAAGGGTTTTTTTGCATCCACAAAGACTCGAACTCGAGACCTTGCTTAAGCGACATCAAACTGCTTATCACTTGAGCCAACCTTGTTGATAGTTAGGATTTCTTTGGACTACTTCTTACATTGCAAATTTTCTATTGCATGTGCACTTTCTTCTTCTAGAATTGAATTTCATCTGTCAAACATGAACAAAAATCACATTAATTTATATTATTACACCAAACCACAAATCAATATTTCACTTTTGCTGCAATTGCAATTTGACTTCACCTCTATTCGAGTTCTAAATTGTCTCAAAGAACGCGTGGACAAAGAAAAAGTAACAAAAATGATGAATATTTTTTTCTGGTAAGATACGGATAAAATATTTCAAACATCACAAGATTGATTTTTTTTTTTTTTAATTTTTTAAATAATATTATGCAAGAAAGAACCTAATGAAAATAAATTAAAAAATAAAAATAAAAATAAAAATAATCAACCTCGTGAAAACAACAGTTGATAATCACTTTCAATCTCCGGACAAACTCCCAAAAAAGCATGCTTCGGGCCTCGCTCCTGCTCGTATTACTCCTCCTACTCTTAACGGCCCAAGTCCAAGCCCAGCCCATTTGCCTCAACAACGGCG